AACGCACTGGATAGCTGGCTAATCAGAGCACACCTCGCTTTTCAGACCGATTAGTTTTGTAAAAATCGACGCGTTTCAGAAAGGCGGGGCATAGAGGAGAAACAATAATGTACAGTATGTGGAAAATAATGTGTTTTTTTAACTTTAAACCACATAAACACATTTCATTACACCAAATACACAAAATAATGTTCTTTTTAGCAGCATCATATGACCCCTTTAATGTCTTTCCAAACCTGTTTGACTTTATGTATTCCCTGGAACACAAAGGTTGATATTTTGAAGAATGTTGATAACCAACATGAAATATTTTGGTGAACGATGACTTTGTATGGACAAAAATAACACCGAGACATTATGCAAAAGAAAGAGCGTCAAACAGGTTTGGAGCGGCACGAGGGCAGAGGTGTAAGGAGAACCTGAAAACTCAACTTGAGGAAAAGTACAGGTACCTTACAGTGAAAATTACTCCACTACAAGTTACAAGTCACCAATTTCAAAACAACTTGAGTAAAACTTGAGTATCTGATTTTAACAGTACTTAAGTGTTTTACTTATACTAAATATAGACTCAAAGATGCATTTGTCAAAGAGTGAAAAACAAGAAAGGGTTGATTTGTGAGAAGAGCAATCACGTTTATTTTCAAAAACCAAAATAAAACTGAACACCTCAAAAATTGCAAAAACAAAACAGCAACAACAACACAAAAATCCTTCAAAAAGGTCTCCAGTATAACGGATAAATAAAATAATGTAAAGTTTTTTTTTTTTTTGTTTGTTTTTTTTTTTCCTTAATTTGTTTATTGAATTAAATAACAGGATAAGAATAACGGAGAATAATGAAAATGGTTTTGGCCTCATTGCCGTTTTGATCTTGCATTCACATAAAGCAGCCTTGTTGACAAGTTTGGGTGAGAAAGGGCAAAGCGCACAAGATATAGTACTTTCAGTGCCCTGTAGTTGGTGATATCACTTCCTTTGTAGCACAAACAAACCGCTGCAGAAAAAGCTAGGTCCATGCAAAATGTAATGTGTGATTGCAACACTCATTACAAATGTACTGGAGTAAAGAGTACAGATGCTTATTCAAAAATGTACTGAAGTCGAGAGTAAAAGTTGCTAATATCTTATAATATCTATTCGGTAAAACTACAGAGTATACAAAAAGATACTCAAGTACAGTAATTAATTACATTTACTCAAATACTTTACACCTCTGCATGAGGGTGAGTAAGAAATGATGACAGTGTTCATATTTAGGTGAAATATCCCTTTAAATTTCTCATGCAGCCACAGAGGATGATGGGAAATGTTGTTTTGTGAGTAAGACACCACATGTACTGGTTAATCAGTAATATTTTCTGGCAAGCTTTATCGCATAAAATTGTGCACAAAGTACATCGCACAATCAACGCTGGTGATCAATACGGTATACAGTAAACACGCATTATAGTGCAGAAGTCATTACCTGCAGATTTCCTCTGCATTTCTGGACCCAGTCAGCCACTCCCAACAGCAGCTTGTGCCTGACCATGTGCTCATTAACCCCCACCAACCGCACGTCTGTGTTCATGTTGATCTGAAACAGATGCACCTGTTATCTTAGCTACATTCAAATCTGCATTAAAAGGGAATACGGGTTCATTTTTACTAGAAAGAGACAGTGACAGCCCACCTCTTTGTTGCTGTAGTGGAAGATGAGGTTGATGGCGGCGGTGAGGATCACGGACACCAGACTGACACACAGGCAGAGCACCCAGAAGTCCGTTGAGCTGCCATCGAGGTGCATGTGAATGGTCGAGTACACAGTGCACCACAGCACCAGATACAAGAGCTGCAACAGACACGTAACACGCAAAACAGTCCTGTGTTTCCTGCAGTCATCTGATCCTCCAAATTCCTGCCTGCTTATTTCTGCTATCTACTGAACTGGAAGTGCTTTGTGCAAAATAGTGAAAGGTGGTCATATGGTATAATGGTCATAATGTCAAGCCGGTGAAGAACTTGATTTCTGAATCCAATTGCACAATTTTTTTGTTTTCTTGTACTGTTGAATAGTTAGTTAACTATCAATCCTTAACCACAAATTAAGAATTCATTCAAATGACTTCTTATTTTGTTCCCTCTTTTTATTTAAATTGTGACCATATTTGCTTCATTACTTTTTTTTAAAGATTTATTTTTGGCATTTTATTAGGATAGGACAGTATTGTAGACAGGAAGCAAAGGGGGAAAGAGAGAGGGGGCCGGGATCAGGAAAGGTCCGCAAGCTGGGACTCAAAAAAAATTAATAAAATCTTGTATTCGTTACCATACAGCTTCTGAACATTTTACATTTTTAATAATTACCATTATATTTATTGGTGATTCTCATCAGTTTCTTATTATTACAATGCAGTATTTTTTACGGTATTACAGTAAAGATATTATTATAAAGGCCTGTTTACACCAAGGACAATAGCTTAAAACAGTAACGATAAAATATAAGGTTTTAATAATCAAGAATATGGAAATTCATACCACAACTATAATGATAACAACACAGTCGACTTATCTTTTTAGTTATCGTTCTTGGTGTGAAAGGCCATTAATACATTTTTTATTTAAATCAGCCTAAATTAAAGGCACAACAGCAATACTACAATGATTTAAATAAATACAACTTAATAAACATTTAAATAATTTACTTTTTTTTAAATTTACCATTTAATATATTGGTTTAATTAGTGAAAGTGAGATTTTTTTTTTTTTTTTTTTTTTTTTTTTACAATACAGTAATGAAAATCGTAATGGTTCTAATAATAATAATTAAAAAAAAAAGTAAGTCATTTTTTTTTAAGAGTCTTGTCTTAACACTTGTCTTTCTTTTGATTTTGGATTAAAATATGACCTGGGCATACACATAACAGGTTCTATGAGTTTCCCAGAGTCCTATTGTCTTTGCTCAGTGCTGGAATGTGTGTGATCAGCTGTGTTTAACAGTGTGTGTCTTACTGGGGCCATGATGACATTAAAAATGCTTGAGTTGAAAAGCAGGTATCTTCTGATGGATGGGTGGTCCAGCGCTAAATGAAGTGGACCCTCAAAGTCTTCTGCTGGAATCTGAAATAGATTTAACATCAAAATACAACATGGAAGTAAGACGTTGAATAATTTAGAAATGCATAGAAATGATCGGATGCCTGAAATTTACTAGCCTGGAAGCCTTTGGTTTCCAGAAGGGTCCTGCAGTGTGAGAAGTCAAAGGCGGGAGTGAACCAAGTGGATGTGGACACAGACGCCACACACTGACCTGACAGAAAGACACCAGCTGAGGTCAATAAACAATTTAAAACTGAAATCTCATCTTTAATAGCTGGTGTCTCTTGCTGTCAGGGAGAATTTGAGCAAGATTAAGCCTATTAAGAATGAAAAATGAAAGTAATGCATTTGAAAGAAGGAAAGTGGATTAACTGGGTCACATATTTTCTATTCCTGTGGCCTTAAAGAAGATCTGCAGTATGCAAGTTATGAAAGACTCATCAGAGCAGTACAAGCATTTAATTCAGGACGGTAAAAATCACACTGCAGTCACATTCCCACTCAGTGTTTGATGATTTTGGTTAGCTGGTTTGATATTAATACTGAAAGAGGACAGGCATAGAGAGAAACGGGGCAATACGTACCATTCCTCCATGTGGACGCTGTGCCTGGTTCTCCTGCTGTGACTGACTGTCCTGTGGCTGTGGGGGATTCAACATCACCTCTTTTCTCTCCATTAGACTGCCGCTCCCTCTCCTCCATGGTGACCGCCACTGTCAGAACCTGCTGGAAAACACACACACCGAAATATTACCAAACACTGTCAATTTGTTGCAACACTTGCAATTTAAGTTGCCTATAAAAGAAAAATATGATCACACTATTCAAAATGAGTGCTCAAGGCAAAACACCAATAGGGTAAATATTTTAACAAATAGATATCACCATACTTCACTCATTTACCATACCATACTACCATACCATCACCATACTTTTCAAGGACATAAATCTCAAGCCAGGTTCAGAATTATTGTGTTTTTTTTTACAGAGGGGATGGTGGATTTATATTTTTATCAACAACAACAACAACAACAACACACACACACACACACACATATATATATATAAGTGCTGTCAAACAATTAATCATTCAAAATAAAAGTTTTTGTTTACATAGTATATGTGTGTGTACTGTGTATATTTATTATGTATATATAAATACACACACATGCATGTATATATTTAATAAAAATGTTACGTTTATATATTAAATATGTAAGGGATAATGTACATCCAGCTGGTTGTTATCTCAGAATAAACCCCGACAGGGTGATCAGGACCCCGACACGAAGCGGAGGGGTCTTGTATCAGCCTGAAGGGGTTTATTCTGAGATAACAACCGGCTGGATGTACATTATCCCGCTTATTACACGGCTAAAAAGATTTGTTTTTACCATATATGTTGAAATTAATGCTGAAGTCTTCCATTGTAACACGCGGTGGTTAAGTGTTTTCAGTCACAAGATGGCGCCAGACAGTCAACGATAGCGGAGTGACTCGTTAAGCATATAAGTAGTACCGGTCAAGATAACTCGTAGTACCCGGATGAGCGGTGTGTTATTCACTGTAGAGTTTGATGTATGTAAGTGCTTCTGAAGTGGAGATTTCTGGCTCAGTGCATGAGAATTTTATTTTGAGAAAATGCCTTATGTATGTATTGTAATTGAAATCTACAGAAGCAAATAGATAAAGTCTAATTAAATAAAAACTTAAATGTGTAGTTTTGAATGTTTTCTTTCCACTAGCCTGAAATAAGATATGCTATGGAAGCAAAATAGCCCCAAAAAATATTTAAAAAAAAACAACAACAACTACATGTTAGGCAGGAAAAAAGGTTTCATGGCCACACATTAAGAATATGTTTCCACAACTTATTAAATAGTTTCCTCGTTTTAGTTAAATCATGGCCAAGTTTGATTCATTTGTTACTTTGTTTAAGGTACATGATGGCCTCATTGGTTTCTCATTTTAATTTAGTTATCATTTATCCATTAGTAATCATTTCATCCATACTGTGACGTACATCCCGAGTATAACAGAATATCGAAAAAGAAAAAACATTTGAGACATTGTTTTGACATTTTAATTAAAAATGATGAGGTAATGAATCACAATAAGATCTATAACATGGATTTTAGTAAAAAGATTTTCATTTCATGCCGACTTTAATTTACGGCCACAATATATTGCCTCAACAAGCACAACAAACTAATGATGTCTAGGAAGGTCAAGACATAATGTAATATGTATAATGTAAGAAAAGCACAATTCATAATATAAATCCATAATTCTAAATAGCAGTCAAATGAGATCTCACACTCAGAAAGGAAACTCAAAAGAAGGGTGCAAACTTCAAATAGCCAAAAAATGTCAATGACGATGGCAAACCTTTGGTCAGGGCTCAGTTTGTCTCAGTCGATGCTTTTGGCACGTTGCACTGCCTGTTTAAGGTCAGGAAACACCAATCTTGCAGTCAGCTTCTCGTTTTAAAGTTTCGTGTACAAGAAAGTGAGGAAGATGTTAGGTTTCTCAACAATAAAGAAACTGACAGCATTTCTTAACCTTTTTTTTTTGTTTTTTTTCAAAATTCTGTATGTTCTTCTGAGTTATTGTAAGTGGCTGCAAGCAGTGTTGTTACATAATATGCATCATTATAGAGAAACTGCTTCAGAGAGCTGTTAACGTTTTACCGCTGTGACCCGGGGAACTCAAATCATGATGCTTTTACAGCAATTTCAACAAACCTGTAAGACACGATAGCATTCACAGCTGACTCCACTGCAGCCTGCAAGCTGAAGAAAATGATAGACACAGATATTATACGGCATGTATGGTATATATAGCTTACCCTGAAAATGATCCCTCCATCTCATTCTTACTCACCTTTGCTAGTTTTTGAATACAGCAAACATGTTTAACTGCTGAAGAACAGAGTGTGAATGTGACAGCAAATCCATCTCTTCTTTTCTCTCATTGTGTCTGCCTCAGCTTCTTCTCAGTCATGTCTGCTATTGCCACAACCTTCGCTCTTTTTTCCTTGTTAGGCTCCTCCCACTTTTAACTCTCATTTATTTATCTCTTCATATTTGTTTTGTCTTTCTCTCATTTTTTTCCCCCATCAGGCTCCTCTCGTGGTCTCGTAAGATCTCTCTTTCTCTTTCACTCTCTGTGAGTGTTTCTTCCTCCTTTATGTGAATGCAAACCTACTTTTAAACCCTCCCCCTTGTGCTCTTCCTCTATCTCTTTATTTTGTGTCGTTTCTTTTTCTCTCTCAGCTTGTGACTCAGCTCAGCTCAGTCTGAACACATGACTGCAGGAATGTACACACAATTTCACAGACCCATGGCGAAAAGTGTGGGTCTGGGCTTGAATGTGTGTGAGCCCTGAAAGAGAAAGAGACAGGAGATGATAGTGTTGTGGTTTTTCTACGTGTATTTGCCAAAACTGGTGCTGGTCATTGAGTTTGTAGAAAGTAAACAAAACAGGTTTTGAGTCAAAAGTCCAATTGCACTGTTCTTTAGCAGTGGCTTAGTATGTTGGTTTCATACACCTGGTAATTGTGTTAAATTAGGATTTTTTGGGTGAATTCTGTCCTCCTAACCAATGTCATGTCAATGTCAATATCATCATGTTTTTATAATGTCTGTTGGAATTTTATTTTATTTATTTTAGCTATGGCTTTAAGGCCAGAATTATGTAAAAATAAAAAGCACAAAATATAATTGCCAGTACACTAATGCCATCAACAGGCTTTATTAAAAAATGCATTTAAATTAGCACAGTAACTCAGGTGCATAAGTAATCATTTGTAGTTAAATCAAAATGTTATATAATAATATGCAGAGGTAACATTTAGGGAGATAAACTATTTGTTGTTGCTGTATTTATTTATTTAAAAAAATATAAATTTGATAGACTTGTATGACAATGTTTCCATAAGGGTTTTTTGTAATGTACTGTTCTATTATGATGATGATTAATATAATGATTTGTAGTAGAGTGATAATATGCAGCACAGTGGAGACAAATTTGTCCAAATATATTTGACGCATAAAGCACATTTCAGTTCAATATCATGTCATCTTCTGCATTAATATAGAAAGTAAGCAATCAAAATGTAAGATATCTTGCATATAGTGCAGCACTCAGTGCAACACAGGACTGTCTCAGGGTCCTCTGATAGGCTATCTTACACATTTATTAGTAAAACAGCATCTGTTTTTGTCATGCTGTTTGTTAGGTCAGGATGTACTTTTCAACAAACATCTTGAAACCATTTATTCAATAACTAAAATCTTAGCCTTCTGAAGGCTAAAGAGGGTCAGTTTAAAATTATTAAAGACATTTCTGTGTGTAACAAGTGCACCATTTGTGATGTGGACAGTCATCTTCCCTCAAGATTCATCTAATGGTGAACAGAATTGGTCTCTGCAGCAATGATCCAGCACACTTAAAGTATACTACATATAAATCATAGGTTTACAGCTCCATATGAACCAAACACATGTATGCCTACAGCACTGACTGATCAACTTTAATCAAGTAAAATATGATCATGGATGCAGATACAGACAACTCTTGGCACTATAGGCACCTGACCTCTCACTCACTGACTCCACCTGCTGGGAAATAAAAGTGACCCTACACAAGAACACTTGGCCCATAGCATACAATTAACAAACTGAATCCATCTTGCAGGTACGAAACAACGTTGATGTAGAAATGATTTGGTTGAGGTGTGATAGCACTGGTCTTAGTTTAGACTCCCAAGTGCCTTATAAACAATTTCCCACATTTTAACGGCTTTTCTATTAGGATAAATCAAATTTATGTAAACATTGTTACGCAAAAGATATATATAACATATGCCTATTATAAACATCATATAGGCTATTGTGTATAAATATACAAAAATGAAAATATTTGTAGTTTATAGTTCATAAAACGTAACCAAAAATAACAATTAATCGAGTCTACAAAGATCATACCCTCACATTCAAAAACAATAATCGTTTTAAAATAAAATATCTATTGCACATATTTCCCACTTCCGGTCTGGCATGTGACTCTGACGTCACGCGGCGGTCATATGACTCTGGTTAAAGATGTGAGTCGGGTGTTGTTGCCATGTAGATACTTCAGGATTCACGAGTCTTATTAAAGGAAATATATACCGTAATCAAGAAACTCTTCTTATCTGCGTATCGCAGTCATATCTGCACTGTTGTCGCTGTCTTTATTGTTTCGATGGATTTTGTTCGACAGTTCGGAATTGTGCTTATAATCGCGGTGTTTTCCGGCACTCGTGCAGACGAGCTTCAGGTAAATACAGGACTTCTGTCACACGATTCTGTGCTCAAACTGTCCTTTTTTAGTGCTCTTAAATATATGCTGGTAATTTGTTTGACTGTAGCATGTATATGCAGAATAAAGTGTGTAACTGAACTAAATTTACATGATGCAGTGATGCATGACTTTAAGCACTATGTGGTTTTGTTTATATATATAAAACATATCTATATTTATAATATAGATTATATATGAATATAAATATATATATATACATACTGTATGTATATTTGTGTATTTATATATACATAATAAATATACACAATACACACATATATTATTGTAAACAAAAACACTTATTTTGGATGTGATTAATCGCGATTAATCGTTTGACAGCACTAGTTTATATATTATTTTTTATTTTTTTAATAAACATTTTAGTTACTGAAAAATGCTTGGCCCCACTTTATATTAAGTGGCCTTAACTACTATGTACTTACATCAAAAAGTAATTACAATGTACTTATTGTGTTCATATTGTATTGCAAAACACTTTTGCTGCTATTGAGGTGGGATACGGGTAAGGTTAGGGACAGGTTTGGTGGTATGGGTAGGTTTAAGGGTGGGTTAAGGTATAAGGGATGGGGTGTTCATATTGTATTGCAAAACACTTTTGCTGCTATTGAGGTGGGATACGGGTGAGGTTAGGGACAGGTTTGTTGGTATGGGTAGGTGTAAGGGATGGGTCAACTGTGTAATTATAAATGTAATTAAAGAAATTAATTACAGATGTAATTACATGCAGGTATTTTTAAAATATAAGTACAATGTAAAAACATGTATGTACACAATAAGTGCATTGTACCAAATTATTAATTTAAATGTAAGTACATAGTTGTTAAGGCCACTTAATATAAAGTGGGTCCAAATGCTTTTGTTTATAGAATAATTAGCAACGATAAAGTATGTTGACAACAAGCTTATTGTTTTGTCATGTGATTGTCATATGAAAGAAATTTTAAAGATCAATCCTAAATAATTTCTTTATGCTTTGTTTTATTGTTGTAATTCTCCACGTTTCCCACAGATTGACCCACTGATATACGAGGAGCAGTTGCTATGGGTCGGCGGTGGAGCCGGTCAGGTCAACACTTACAGGATCCCTCTGCTAACCTTCACGACGCGAGGAAGTCTGCTGGCGTTCTCTGAGGCCAGGAAAATGTCCTCCAGTGACACTGGCGCGAAGTTCATCGCACTGAGACGCTCCACAGACAAAGGTGGACCATACACTTTCACTACAGTCATAAATGGCTATTTTAGATGAAACTGAATTGTAATCTCTTTCGTGAATCTCTCAGGAGTCACCTGGTCTCCCACCTCATTCATAGTGGACGATGGTTCTCTAGCAGATGGGTTGACTCTAGGTTCGGTTGTTGTGGATGTGGGTCAACTGTGTAATTATAAATGTAATTAAAGAAATTAATTACAGATGTAATTACATGCAGGTATTTTTAAAATATAAGTACAATGTAAAAACATGTATGTACACAATAAGTGCATTGTACCAAATTATTAATTTAAATGTAAGTACATAGTTGTTAAGGCCACTTAATATAAAGTGGGTCCAAATGCTTTTGTTTATAGAATAATTAGCAACGATAAAGTATGTTGACAACAAGCTTATTGTTTTGTCATGTGATTGTCATATGAAAGAAATTTTAAAGATCAATCCTAAATAATTTCTTTATGCTTTGTTTTATTGTTGTAATTCTCCACGTTTCCCACAGATTGACCCACTGATATACGAGGAGCAGTTGCTATGGGTCGGCGGTGGAGCCGGTCAGGTCAACACTTACAGGATCCCTCTGCTAACCTTCACGACGCGAGGAAGTCTGCTGGCGTTCTCTGAGGCCAGGAAAATGTCCTCCAGTGACACTGGCGCGAAGTTCATCGCACTGAGACGCTCCACAGACAAAGGTGGACCATACACTTTCACTACAGTCATAAATGGCTATTTTAGATGAAACTGAATTGTAATCTCTTTCGTGAATCTCTCAGGAGTCACCTGGTCTCCCACCTCATTCATAGTGGACGATGGTTCTCTAGCAGATGGGTTGACTCTAGGTTCGGTTGTTGTGGATGAAGAGACTGGTGCTGTGATACTCATCTATGCTCTGTGTTTCCACCTTTATCACTGTGACCCCTCCAGCACCATGATGGTGCAGAGTCTGGATGACGGGTTCACCTGGAGCGCTCCACGTAACCTCTCCGTTGAGTTGGGGGTGAAGAGCTTTGCTCCAGGGCCTGGCTTCGGCATACAGGTGTGGTTAGAGCTCTTTACTTTCTGTTCCTCCTTCAAACTAAAGAAAACTAGAGAAAACTAAAGCATGCTTTTATGACTTCCTGTTGTTTATGATGCTGTTATGACTTCTCGGGTTAAATAAAACTACATTTTATTGTCTGTGTGGTTAAGCATTGGTTTATAAATGAGAACAAAAAAGCTGACATGGTCTTTTTCCAGCATTTTTTTTTTGCTCGGGAGCAGTTTATATGCGTTTAGTTCATCATATGCCTTTGTTCACAGAAACGGTATGCTCCCAATGTGGGCCGTCTGGTGGTGTGTGGCCACGGATCCATCGCTGGTGATGGGGTCTTCTGCATCCTGAGTGATGATCATGGCGAATCCTGGCGATATGGAGCTGCTCTGAAGAGCATCCCTTACAACCAGCCTAAACAAGATCTGGACTTCAACCCAGATGAGTGTCAGGTAAAAGTAAACAACTCAATACACAGAATGTATCTATGCTGAAGTGTTACTATATAGTAATTAGTGGGTTTTAAATAATTTTACTGTAGTACTGTATTCTTCTCTTTTTCAATAAAACATACAAACATTTTTACAGTGTAGGCTTGATATTAAACAACTTGTGCTAATTGACTTCCTATTTGACTTGATGTACTATCTCACATCCTTTTTGTCTGCTTTATCAGCCAGTGGAACTCGAGGACGGAAGTATAGTCATCAATGTGCGCAACCAGAACAAGTACCACTGCCGCTGTCGAATAATCGTGCGGAGTTTGGACGGAGGCGAGTCGCTGCCCGTGGAGGAGCTGGTGTTTGACAAAACACTGATCGACCCCGTGGTCGCAGCCGGAGCCCTGCAGAAACAAGGAGTGATGTACTTCACCAACCCCTCCAGCACTCAGCACAGTGAGGAAGAGCAATTCCCAAAGCATTACTCAGAAATATCACAGTTAAAGCTTCATGGAAGATGAATTGTTATTTTCTTGCACAGGGGTCAATCTAACTCTTCGCTGGTCCTTCTCTGATGGGAAGTCATGGGAAAAGGAGGCAGTCCAGATCTGGGCGGGGCCAAGCGGTTATTCGTGTATAACATCACTCAAGGGAGATTCTCCTGAGGACAGCAAATTCATCTACGTCATTTACGAAAAGGGCCATAAAGATTACTGTGAGACCATCTCTTTTGCCAAAATCCATCTATATGGAGGGAAATAACATGCAGGTGGAGGAGCCAAGAAAAGGGATATTTAGGACTTTTAAAATGACCTTTTTTTTTTTTTTTTTGAGAAAACCAAGGTATCAGCCTGATGCAAAATCATTTTCTTTACATTAAATCTGGTCTATACTATGAATGGTTTTTATATGAATTTCACTCCGGAAAAATATTGAGGCATCCTGCTTCAGTGTGAGATTGATTTATACAGCAATATATTATAAAACAGCTATGATTGTACCCACTGTTTTTTACCTGGCAGTGCACAAAACTTTCTATAATATGTGTCTTGAAGTTCTCATAATTTCTTTGTGCAGATGGTGAGCTGCACGTGGGTTGCACATGTGTTTATTGGGACTATTTGATGGTTTTTTATTTTTTGTTTACAATAATGTAACTCAGGTGAATCTTTATGAAGCTACAACGTTCTTAAAATGGTTGTTTTCTACTGTATAACAGTTGATTGAATTAAGTCTTGAATTATTGTTTTGAATACAGAAATGTGATTTCATTTTAATTACCTTGAGGTGTTTCTTTTATCCCTGGTGTTGCTTAAATGAATGAAGGCCTTTGAAATGACTCGCTCACATAAACTGGAAGACACAAGGGTTTGAGAAACATAGACACTCTAAGCAAGCAGTGTTCATGTTCTCCACATTATACTACTGTGATATCAGAAAACCCCATTTTATATTCTAAACAAGTGTCATTCATGTGCTTCAGGTTATATGGTTTTGTTTACCCAGTCTGGCCTTTTTGTGGCCATAGATGTTGTATATTTAGATACCAGACAAATTATTTTGGTAACATCTTACTGTAAGTGACTTTTAAATAGTACATGCAAGTTTGTGTTGAAAGTCAACCGAAAGGCTATCACTGTATTCAATTTCATATAAACACATTTGACTTTTCACTTGATTTGCTGGATTACACAGGGACGCATTTTATTGTTCAATAAATTGTTCTATTTTGATACAGCAACTCCTTGTATCTTTTAGTTCCAACCATATCCAAGACAAATAAGAATACCTGACATTATATTTGAATAGGGCAACATTTGCACTTTTAAATTAGTCAGAGATGATCGCTAGAAAGTCTTATATGTACCATATTTTATTAGATGGTACATCACTCCTTCCACCTGTCCTCACACCATAGCTCAATAACTCAGAGAGACTAAAACATTTATCACACTTAAAAACAGAAAAATACACAGGCGGTGTACAATTACTGTTCAAAAGTTAAGATTTTTGTTTTTGAACGCATTTATTTGATCAAACATACAGTAGAACAGTAATATTGAGACATATTATTACAATTTAAAATAACTTTTCTTTTTGAATATGATTTAAATTTTAATTTATGATGCCAAAGCTGAATTTTCAGCATCATTACTTCAGTCTTCAGTGTCACATGATCATCAGAAATCATTCTAATATGCTGATTTGATGCTCAAGAAACATTTCTGATTATTATCAATGTTAAAACGTGCTACATAAAATTTTTGTGGAAACCAAGATAAATGTTTTTGCATAGGAAGTCAGAATAATGAAAAAAATAAAACCCTTTTTTTTTGTAAGTAACATTACAAACTTTTGTCTTTACTGCCTCTTTTGGTCAATTAGCATCATTACTTCAGTCTTCAGTGTCACATGATCATCAGAAATCATTCTAATATGCTGATTTGATGCTCAAGAAACATTTCTGATTATTATCAATGTTAAAACGTGCTACATAAAATTTTTGTGGAAACCAAGATGCATGTTTTTGCATAGGAAGTCAGAATAATGAAAAAAATAAAACCCTTTTTTTTTTGTAAGTAACATTACAAACTTTTGTCTTTACTGCCTCTTTTGGTCAATTTAATGCATCCTTGCAAAATAAATAAATAAATAAAATAAAAAAGGTATAGGCAGAGGTTATTTAAGAAAGTACCTCTTTTATAAGGTCCTTACTGTCAGATATTTATTAAAACATTTATATAATTAGTCTATGTAACGTCAAATCAGCCTTAATCCTGAAGTAGCCTAGGCTACAAGATTTGTTTGTTTTGTATTTGTTGTCACATTTTCTATCACAGCCATGATATATCAACTGCCACACAAATAATATAAAGAAAATACATTTGAAATAAATGTAGTCATTTAAACAGGTCATTTTAGTACCTAAAGATAAATAAATGTATATATATATATATATATACAAAATACGGTTTTGTCAAAACTACAAGTTGCCAGTTCCGTGAATGAAGCTGAAATTCAGTCTGAAAGCATCCTGGAGTCAATTTATCCGTTCATTTAACGAAGTGAGTGCTAGATTTGTCAATATTTACCATATTTGACTTTTATTTATCTGATAGTGTCCAAGTAAGTGAGTCAAGACAGAGAAGTCTAAGGTGCAGCTGATTGATTTGCATCATGTCAGCGAAGTGCATTGTGCTCATCTCAATAATGTACTGTAGACTAGACCGGTCTGTTAAACCAGTTCTTTTGCCATTCCTCGGCTGACTCCGTTGAGCGCTTTGTGGGTTTTAAGTAGCCTTCAGGAAAAATCACAGTAGTTTGCACATGACTTGACAAAACTTGCCGTCATGAATCGGAACCCTTTGCGGATTTTGCTTCTTGCAGTGCTGTGCTCGTTTGCGCGAAATGAAACGGTAGGCTAGAAGATTTGGTTTATCATATCCTCCTGGGACCCAGGCATAGACCTTTTAGACTGATTATATTTTGGTGAATTTCTCTGAGACCCTACATGCCCGTTTTAGTCTGGATGTCCTGTACAGAGCACATTCAGGGCTTTTCAGAGATATATCAAATATTTGGAGTTTTGATCATAACACACTTTCTCCTTGGTCTTTAAATATGACTGATATTGACAGCATGATCAAATTTAACACTCTTAGGGAATTATGATAATGTTTTGTAATTATTATTTAAATCGGACCAATTTTCAAATTGTTTGAAACATCTCAGAAAAATGTTATGGGATTTCAAATCGGAATATGAATTTTTGTTATGAAACAGGGCATAATTTTTAAACATGTCTTCTGTAGAGGACAGCAGGACAAACATGTTAATCAGGCATTTTGGGTAAACACAAGTCAATAGGGAAAGAAATTATAGATCAATATGTGAGATATTCTAATGAAAATGTTGCAAAGTTATTACTCCCATTATAACACTTCTTTTTTTCATTATGGTCTGCCCCAAGAACACATTCATATGCAAATTAGATTCAATGTATAGATACATTGTATAGAATGGGAATTCCAATTTATGGACATTTTATGCACATACTGCATAAAGTACAGTAGTATATCAAATCATTCTGTTATATCTTTCATAACATATAGTTGAGAATCATCTTTGTAGAAAGTTTGGTTAAAAATAGCCTGAAACCGAAAAACTGATTGGTGAATGAAAAAAAAAAATAAAGCATTGTTTTTGACTGCACATGCCTTTTCATGTCTATTTATTTTATTATCATGTCTGTTATTATTATTATTTTTTAATAACTTAGTCCTGGCATCCTCTACATAATAAAATATGAATAAAATATATTTTTTTCAAAAATGTTGTTTCTTATGCTCCAACCAATGTAATGGCATAAAAAAAATTCACAAAACTTTTTTTTTATGGTAGGAGGATATTTAAGACGATCATAAATATCACATTATGAATCCACAATACAACAAATTAATTAATAATTTAGCAAGGAGGTGGCTGGTTGTCACAAGAGGAAGTTTATGGGCTATATATCAATAACTGTAAATATTTGTGTCAAAAGTCCATGTACACAAATGTGTTTTCTTTTAGCAGTTATGTTTAGCTATGGTGTATTGTATTGTGTATAGCACTGTTAAAACCTGACTTCAATGAGGATAATGTGAATTCTGATGTTCATTGATTGAATGTTTTCCTGAGCAAAAATTGAGATCTGTAGTCAGTCTCATTGGTATGTGCCTACACAGAACTTGTCTTTAAAGAGTAAACACAACTAGCCTCATCTCAGCTTGTTTATTTATTGCATAGTTTTGACCTGTATCATTTTATCCCTTTACTTTTTTACATGTACAGATCAATCCAGCTATCGCTGATGAGCAGCTGCTCTGGGTCGGTGGTCAAATTGGAGAAGTTCACACCTACAGAATTCCCCTACTGACCTTCACTACTCAGGGAAGTCTGCTGGCTTTTGCAGAGGCCCGGAAACTGTCCTTCAAAGACACCGGAGCCAAGTTCATCGCTTTGAGACGCTCCACAGACAGAGGTGTGTCAGATGTTTCATAGCTCACCTGCTGAAAAAGCAAGTATTCTGTTTTCATTCCTGTTTGCTTCTCCAACCATCTCTTTCTTCTGACACGTTCTCAGGAGTCACCTGGTCTCCCACCTCATTCATAGTGGACGATGGTTCTCTAGCAGATGGGTTGACTCTAGGTTCGGTTGTTGTGGATGAAGAGACTGGTGCTGTGATACTCATCTATGCTCTGTGTTTCCACCATTACCACTGCAAGCCCTCCAGCACCATGATGGTGCAGAGTCTGGATGACGGGTTCACCTGGAGCGCCCCACGAAACCTTAACCCTCAACTGGGGCTCATGAGTTTTGCTCCTGGACCTGGCTTCGGTATACAGGTATTTTTTACTTCCATGCCTAATTTCATGTCTGAGTGTTTCACTTACAACTCCCATAGACTTACATGTTAAAGAACACACAATAAGTGGCCGGTTGTCAGGCAAAATATGATTATACATGGATGAAATCCAGTCATTTTAAAAGCAATTTGCACGCTATATGGAATTTAATGTGAGTGCAAAACATTTATCTATGCAGATTTCGCATCAGGTTCAAGATGGTTATTCACCAAAAGAAAGCTACAGTATTTGGTTTGAAGTGTGAGCTGTCTTTTGTGCACCAATGAGTAACCTAGACCAGTGGTTCCCAACCCTGGTCCTGGAGGCACCCCAACACTGCACATTTTGCATATCTCCTTTCTATGACACACCAATTTCAGGTCTTGGGGTCTCTACTAATGAGCTGATAATCTGAATCAGGTTTGTTTGATTAAGGAGACATGCAAAACATGCAGTGTTGGGGTGCCTCCAGGACCAGGGTTGGGAACCACTAACCTAGACCAACTAGAAGCAAAGGAAACAGGAACAGAAAACCAACTCAAAGTCAAACTCAAGCAAACACAAACATAACACGAGACATAAACCCTTATACAGTAAATGTAGCTGCTTTACCATTTTTATCATGGTTTAAAACGTATAAATTGTTTTGTATGTTTTGGATTTGAGAATTGAATTTAATGCGATGATCAAAGAATTTAATAGTTGTGTCAGGGGTTGTTTGCAGGCAGGGAGAGAGTTCTATTAGCACACAGTGTATTTATTAACAAACAAAACACTTGTGAGCACAAGGGAACTGAGAATGGCAAACCAACATTTTATCTTGACAAGACAAATACTGAACTGAAACACTGGGAGGGATAAATATACACAGGGTATACAAAAACTAAACTAGAAACAAAATGATTAACTATATAAAAGAATTGAGCACATACTTCGAAAACAAGGGAACAAAGCAAACAGGAAAAGTACACAGTCAAATTAATATCAAAATAAAAGTCCTTGAACACAGAAACCTAGACAAAACAGAAGTTGATTATCATCAAGGGAGGCTGTCTCAGATTATATGTGAATTCTTCCAACAGTTGCTCAGCTGAAATATGTTTATGTTCTGGAATATTCATATGGAAACAGTTGGTGTGCTGAGACCCACACTTTGTGACGATCATTTGCTTATCAATTCATGATTATTAGTTTTATATGCTGTTAATAAATTGTAGTGATTTCTGTCATTACCTACCAAACCTAGTCTGAGTGACATAAAAAGCATCCTATTATAGTTTTTTTCTTCTTCTTGCCACTTAGCATTGGGTTTGTCTAAAATAACTGATACCACAGACTGTGCAAAATACTCATTTCATTAAACAATTCTTCATGATGTGTTCATCTAATGGTGCTTACAGAAACGTCATCCGCCTGCTGTTGGGCGTCTGGTGGTGTGTGGCCATGGCAGCATCACTGGAGACGGGGTCTTTTGCATCCTGAGTGATGATCATGGAAACACATGGAGATATGGAGCTGAACTGAAGAGCATTCCCTACAACCAGCGTAAAAACAACCTTGACTTTGACCCAGACGAGTGTCAGGTATGATAAACTTGAACTATATAGATTCTATTACAGAAGTAATTGTATTGGTGGTTGTGTGGCAGAAATATAGATCAGAAGAGTTTGTAAATTCTTCAGACTTCTGTCTTGTGTTTCCTCAAAGCCAGTGGAGCTGGATGACGGCAGCATCGTGATTAATGTGCGCAACGATAAACACTATCACTGCCGCTGTCGCATGGTTGCACGCAGTCTGGATGGAGGAGAGTCTCTGCCGGTGGAGGAGCTGGTGTTTGATCGCACACTGGAGGATTCTGCGGTTGCAGCTGGAGCTTTAGAGAAGGAAGGAGTGCTTTACTTCACCAACCCAGCCAACGCTAATAGCAGTGAGCGTGATGATATGAGAAATTCATTTAATGTTTCTCAGTCCTGGTCTTGGAGTACCACAGATCTCACTTATTTAACACACCTTGTTAATATCATAAACTCTAGAACCTGATCTAAGTGTGTCAGATAAGGGAGACCTCAAAATGTGCAGTGCTGCAGTTTTGCAATGGAAGGATTAAGAAAAACTGTATTGAATATTTTTAAATAGTAATAATACATTTTTAAAAAAATGTCAATTCGGTTTTTCAGTAAACTGTGCATGAGAAGTATCTATTCTGATATTTTTATATAAGACTGTTAAATCAGTGCTAGGTTGCCTGGTTTTCAAAGAACTTAAAAATAATCCTACATACAGTACTACTACTTTCGTACAATGATATTGCATTCCAGTTTGCATACTGTATGTGTCTAAATATTACTCAAGAAACATTCCCAGATTTTTAACTTTTTCTAATGGATTTTTGCATCTTGTGCATGATTTTTTTTTTTTGTCTCATGTAGCCTACAAGACTTTGCACCATGAAAGAAGAGGAGTTTAATGGCCAAATATCCGCCTGGCCAGTCACTACTTTTTATTGTTGTTGTTATTATTTTATTTTTCACTTTACACAGTCTACAGTCTCTTTAATACATGTTTGCACATATCTTGATTCTATATTATGCTACTGTTTTACTCTGTGTCTCTTGTACTGTTTTGTGTTTTGAGATTGCAGCATGAACAATAGTTCATTCATGCTTATACATAATGTGAGTTACTTTTCTATTGTTGTTTTCCTCAGGAGTGAACCTCACCCTTCGCTGGTCTCTGAATCGCGGTAAATCATGGGTGAAAGATACTCTGAAGATCTGGGCTGGGCCAAGTGGATACTCTTGTATGACGTCACTTAAAGGCAATGAAACTGAGGATCATAAATACATCTATGTCATCTTTGAGAAAGGCCAAAAGGACTATTTTGAGTCCATCTCCTGTGTGAAAATTGACCTGTACAGCAACCAGTGAATAAAGTCACCGATGGGCTGATTCACTTTAGAAAAAAAAGAAGCTTGATCAAGTTGCTCAATTTTGAAAATCAATATTTAAGTGAAGATTGTTTTTTATTAATTGGTCAAATTAATTGTCTGCCTTATCGCCATATTTTTTTTAAATAATTTTGAAATTAGTCTTACCACACCTGTCTACTATCTAAGTATTAACATTATAGAAATATATAAATACAGCGGCATGCAAGCTTGTCTGAGGTTGTAGAACCTGATTTTTTTTTTTATATATAATAAAAATTCTAAATAAATTAAAATAATAAAATAAAATAAAAACATGATATGTATGCATTTATTTTGGTATTTTGTGGTGTTTTTATTTTGTAACCTCAAAATGACTAATTAAATTTTTATATAAAATAAGTGTTATTCTTTTTAATCTAAAAAAAAACAAAAAACATTTCAGTCAATGAAATGATTTGTCCAAACATTAGGGGGAAAAATTAAATGGTGACCTCTGCTAGGAAAAAAAGACATGAAAATGAAATTTTCTGACTATGGCCAGTAGATGGTAGCAGGATTCCATGGATTAACAGATCTCCAATGTTAAAACAAATTCCTACAAATTCCTATAAATTATACATTCAGAATGTATAAAGAAATTGTTACAATTATTTATAAAATATATTAGTATTTTTGATGTTAGTATTTATGTTGAGCTGAGATTTTGAAATAATTAGTAAGGTTGAATTTCTCACATGGAGCCTTTTGCTTTTGTTGTAGCTTTTGTTTTTTAAGGGGATAGAAAATAGTTTGTACAGTATAAAAACCATTATGTCTATGGAATGTCCTCATAAAACATTAAAGCTGCACTGTTGATTTTATTAAATTCAGAAAACAGGACACAGCTAGTCAAAACACATTAGAATCTTGTATGACGTCACTTAAAGGCAATGAAACTGAGGATCATAAATACATCTATGTCATCTTTGAGAAAGGCCAAAAGGACTATTTTGAGTCCATCTCCTGTGTGAAAATTGACCTGTACAGCAACCAGTGAATAAAGTCACCGATGGGCTGATTCACTTTAGAAAAAAAAGAAGCTTGATCAAGTTGCTCAATTTTGAAAATCAATATTTAAGTGAAGATTGTTTTTTATTAATTGGTCAAATTAATTGCCTTCCTTATCGCCATATTTTTTTTAAATAATTTTGAAATTAGTCTTACCACACCTGTCTACTATCTAAGTATTAACATTATAGAAATATATAAATACAGCGGCATGCAAGCTTGTCTGAGGTTGTAGAACCTGATTTTTTTTTTTATATATTGTTTGGTCATCCCTTTAGTTATAGTTTTGCTTAGCAGTTAAGCAAAATAATTAAAATTGTAAAACTTAAAATAAATTATATAAAATATATATTGTTGTTATATAAGAACAACAAATGTGTATGTTGGAGGGCCCCCCCTCCCCACTGTCCAAACATTAGGGGGAAAAATTAAATGGTGACCTCTGCTAGGAAAAAAAGACATGAAAATGAAATTTTCTGACTATGGCCAGTAGATGGTAGCAGGATTCCATGGATTAACAGATCTCCAATGTTAAAACAAATTCCTACAAATTCCTATAAATTATACATTCAGAATGTATAAAGAAATTGTTACAATTATTTATAAAATATATTAGTATTTTTGATGCTAGTATTTATGTTGAGCTGAGATTTTGAAATAATTAGTAAGGTTGAATTTCTCACATGGAGCCTTTTGCTTTTGTTGTAGCTTTTGTTTTTTAAGGGGATAGAAAATAGTTTGTACAGTATAAAAACCATTATGTCTATGGAATGTCCTCATAAAACATTAAAGCTGCACTGTTGATTTTATTAAATTCAGAAAACAGGACACAGCTAGTCAAAACACATTAGAAAAAATACAATAACTGATTTATTGAGAACATTCTGCCACACACAAAAAAATTATATATATATTTCCTAGTTCTCAGTTTTCAAATGAGAATAAAATTTATAAAACATTAAAGCTGCACTGTTGATTTTATTAAATTCAGAAAACAGGACACAGCTAGTCAAAACACATTAGAAAAAATACAATAACCACTGATTTATTGAGAACATTCTGCCACACACAAAAAAAATTATATATATATTTCCTAGTTCTCAGTTTTCAAATGAGAATAAAATTGACAAATTACTACAACTAGTAATAGCAAAAACGACAACAAAATTACAGCTAAACAATGGCCACAAAAAGTATTTGGACACTTAACCCACAACTAAAAATGTATGCTTTTTGGATTATATAGCAAAATATCAAAGCAAATGGCATTTAGTTGAAAGAAACAGAGCCCAAACACACTTTTAAGTCAAAACATTTCCTTCTTTTTTTTCAAGTTTCAAAATATGAAGCAATACACGTATTGTTCAAAATCACTTAATAAGTCATTAATGTTTCAAATCTGTTCTTAATGCGTATAGCAGGGGAAAGTAGAATATCGGTGTTTTCAAGTCTAATCAGAGAACGGCCCCAAAGCACTCAAGACATCAGACTGTCTTGAGTATCATATATTACAGCATTAGCATCCTCTAATTCAGATCACACTATTTCCAATTTTTTAAAACTCTTTCTTCAGTGTTTCTTCCTCTTTTTAAGTCAAGTTCGTGAGTGTTTTCATGATGTGTTTTCTGAGTGTCACTCTTTTTCTTCAGGTCTCAATTGCCTATTTGTTTCTGTCTTAATAGTTTGTTCATGTTCAAGCTTATGTACAGTAGTTTAATCTTCAAAGACATCTGTACAAATTACCATCCTGCCCTAAAAGGTTAATTCCACTCACACAACCAAATTTGTTTAAAATGATTGCATTACCCCAAAGGGCTTAATTATCATACTCTCAAAACTATCTTTATTGCCACACCATTTGGATAAGCAACATTAATCAATAGTGTGAGAAGAAAACATAAAAGAAAAGCGGTGTAAGCAATACAATTCTAGACCTTGCTATTTCTGGAATGTTTTGGACATTTTTTCCCAAAAATATAACAGGGTGTTTCTAATGAATATATCCAAAAGGCCTATGTAAGCGTAAATGATTAATTGCCTGATTTTTTTGTGTGGGGATTCAGGATTATTGGGAACCAACCCTGCTCCACAAAGGATTTCTCGTAGTAATTTTCCAGATCTTTTTGGAATCTGCGCACAAACCACCTCCAGTAAACCCAAATAGGAAAAGGTTTGAATACCGGGCTCCAAAACCAGTCATCATGAACTTCTCTTGCTATTCTGTATTCTTTATATGGTATCCACTTACCTGATGATTTAAAACTTTTATTATTTGCCACTACATCTAAGCAAAAATCTCTACACAGATTATTAGTTTCATAGTAATAGTGCCCATTGATTCCAGTTATTCTGTGCGAAAGAACACTGTGATCTCCATCATGGTTTTCAGTTTGGGTGCAGGTGGCTTTACAGAACGGACACTGAACCCAACAGCACTGACAGAACTGGTCAATCAGAATCTCATCCGGTCTGTCCTTGAGGTCCAGTTTTTCATCAAACGTATCTGTGTTGAACTCTTTGCTCGTGTCGGGCATTAGAGCAGGAAGTTTTGTTGTTATCACTTCTTTGAGAAGGTTGAAATCATCAACATCATCATGTTTGACTCCAATGAGGTCTTTTTTAGAGAATATCAGCACATCTGAGAGCTGCTGTGTGAAAGTCTTCAACCACAAATCAACATTTCCACTGTTTGTTTGAACATGTTCAGTAGATTTGTGTACAGCTTCCATGATCTTCTTCTGCAGGAGTTCAGTGTTCCTCTTCATCTTGGGCAAAACACTGTCACTGAAGTTTTGGGTCATGTACTGACTGACTTCATCTCTGATGAAATTCTCAAAGTGCTCTCTGGGATAATTAATGTAGTCCATGTATGCAAAAAAATTATCCTCTTGTGCCAGAAACTTCAGGATGTGTTTCTCCAGATTTATTCTGCTTCCATTCAATGATCTACGGCTTAGTCTAATATCATCTATCAAATCTCTTGCAGACTTTGTGTAGACACTCTGCTCAATGCGCTCTTTAAGTTTCTGACATAAGATCTCACCAAAAATGACAGATGAATCAGCTCCTTGAAGGTGTTTCTGGAAAATACTGTAATACTCTTCTTTCTTCTTCCTCAAAAAGAGAACAGGGTCATTGGCTTCTCTAAACAGTCTGTGTTGCTGAGTGAATGTCTTGTTTGCTCTCTTAAAGATAGAGCAAATCAAGTCAATGGAGAACTCATTCTTGAACACATAGTTCACTGACTACCTTGATGTAATCTACGAGTTGCTGAATGCAGCTGACATTGAAGCCCATTTTTGCAATGTTAAATGACATGATCTTTTTGTCTATTTGCTGGGCAACATCTGTGACATTACCAAACCTCTCTTATAGCTGCATTGATGGCATTTTTTAAACGTCCTGTAAATCCACTGGATTTCTTTAATTGTACATAATCTGAATAACTTTGCACAGAATAAAAAACATCCCTGCATTCATTGTTCTCCCTCCAGGAGTCTACAGGAGCACTTATGTAGATGTCACTGAGGAGTAGTTTCACTTCTCTCAGTATGTCAGTGTCTTTGATTGGAGTATCTGTGATGATCATCTTCAAACACTCCCTTTGATCCGCTCCAAACGGCTGATTTACGGCCTATGTCGCTCAAAACTGCTCTTCTTTTGGCTTTAGCATTGGTCAAACGTGTAGGTAACTTTCAAGCACCGTCAGTCAGCACTTCTTGTCTTGAGTTTGGGCCTAACGACTGTAAGGTCATTCTCCAGCCGCATAGTGGTTACGAACCCAAGGTGTTCTCAACTCCGTTCAGAGCCCAGGTTATTTCCCTGTTAGCACTCCCCGTGATGGATGGTGAGCAGGGTCCTAACTTACTGTGCCCTGTTAGGGCACTCAAAATATACTTGGAGTGTTCTGGATTGTTCAGACAATCAGAGCAGCTCATTGTGTGCTTTGGAGGCCCCTCAAAGGGCTGCCATGCAGCTACAAAGTAGAGAATATCTCTCTGAATGCTATAGCTATATATAGCTATAGCCCTGGCTTATGCCGCAGTTGGCTTGCAATGCCCTATAGGTGTGAGGGCCCATTCCACCAGACGAATGGCCTCCTCCTGGGC